TAATATGAACCGCAAGTGTAAAAAAAAAAAATGTGATGATAATAATTATCCGTGTAATATCCAATAAAATTTGATTGATACGAACGCGAGCCATATTACGTAATATAACTCTGTCATCACGGCGAGAGAAAAAGCAATAACAATAAAGAATAAATAAACCAACGAAAAAAAAAATAAAAATGAAATAAAACAAAATGAAAAAAAAAGTTGAAAATATTTCTTCCATTTTTGTCAGATTTACAAAATTCACATCATTTTGCGCGGTCCGTGGTTCTCCCTCCTGGAAACTTCAACGCTACGCTAGCAAGTTATCTCCACGCCCAAATCCTGTTCTTATGAAATGCTGCTTCGGAAAAGTACGAGCTAACACGATGATGATATTAATGGTGATGGGCATGATGATAATGGTGATGATGATAATGGTGATGGTGATGATGATTAGGGTGATGGTGATGGGGATGATAATGGTGATAATGGTGAACATGATGATGATGATGATGATGATGATGATGATGATGATGATGAGGAGGAGGAGGAAGAGGAGGAGGACGACGACGACGACAGCAATAACACTAATAACAACAACAATAATAATAATAATAATGATAATAATAACGATGATAATAATAATAACAACAGCATTAATAATGATAATAACAACAGCAACAACATTAATAATAATAATAATGGCACTAAAAGTAATGGCTAGAAATTCCATCGACAAAAAATACCTTCACGCATAGAACAAAAAAAAACAGGAATTAACGCTGCAGGAAAACAACGTCCCGCTGCAACACCCAATCAGTTCACAATCTCGGAGTAATCAAGCTGCAATCTGCAATATATCCGTCCTTAGAAGCACCGTTGGCTGACCCGCCATTGCACGCCGTTATTTGTCGGGCGCGTCGTCGTAGCTCATTTCCCTGCGCTGGAGGCCGCTTCCCTTTCGACCGCTGTCTCTTCTGCGTCTCGTGTGTCACGGGGGTCATTATTTATGTCCTTTTTTTTCTCTCTGTGGTTGTGTGTGTGTCTCTGTTTCTGTATCTGTATTTGTCTCTGTCTCTGTCTGTCTGTCTGACTGTTTCTGTCTGTCTGTCTGTCTGTCTCTCTCTCTCTCTCTCTCTCTCTCTCTCTCTCTCTCTCTCTCTCTCTCTCTCTCTCTCTCTCTCTCTCTCTCTCTCTCTCATTTATCTCTTAAATGTTTACACTCCTACATCTACATCAAATTTCCCCTTCTCAAATTTCATACATCGAAATCTAACCCTCCCTCTACTAGATCCACCACACGGCGCCCCACTAAACGAAAAGCAGGGCGGCCGGAGCGACGGCGTCCGCGTGAGCCATAAATCCCCGGTGAGTGAGCGTCGACCTCCCATACCCGTGTTGAGCATCATCGCAGCACGAGGTAAACAATGGAGGTCCCGGCCTGCCTTCGTCGCCGCCCTGCCAACACCCCCTCGCTTGTCACCACTCAATCACCCTCGTGACACCACTAAGCCGACCAACACCTCGCCCCGGGACTCTGGATTCTTCTTCTGCGGCGCCCACACGCATGCGGATACGCACTCACACACACACACACACACGCACACACACACGCAGATGTATGCATACACGAAAAGAGCCACACAGACACACCAAAGACTTTTTAAATATCCCCTTTAAAAGGCATTTCATTCCCTGCTGGCCATTGCTTATCCTCCGCCACTAAGCTTTTCTCCCCGATGCCTCTTCCTTATCTCTATTCCCTCGTCCACGCCCATATTTGTTCCAGCTCATTCTCTCGCCGCCCTTGTTCCAGCCTTTATCCATCGTCCTCTGTCTAAAGCGTTCTCTGAGCGTGATACTTTATGGGCCATTCGTCTTAATATTGTTCAACTCTTTTTCCCATTTTCTCTTTTTTTTTTAAATCCTCTTGTTCTATCGAATGATATTTTCTCTTCTCTTCTCTTCTCTTCTCTCTCTCTCTCTCTCTCTCTCTCTCTCTCTCTCTCTCTCTCTCTCTCTCTCTCTCTCTCTCTCTCTCTCTCTCTCTCTCTCTCTCTCTCCTTCTTAGTGCCAGTGACCCCGGTAAATAACCCCCACAACGCATGCCGAGCCACATTCTATAAGGTAATTATACCCTCTAATTAGTGCCAGAGGTTCTCTCCTGGAGCATCTTCATTACCTCCCGCAAGAAAGATCGTGTCTTTTCCTCAAAGCGAACTCGTGAAACTGGTTCATCCCTGTCTCTGCGACGGGGTGAGTGCTCGAAAGAATGTTTTCCTGATCGACTGACTTTAATACTTTGTGTCATCGATTATGTGTTTATTGTTTTACTTATCCATTTATCCATGATTTTTTTTTAGATATATGATACTTTAGTTGTCGCCGCGTGTCCCTTTTGATACCACTTCCTTAACGATGACTGGATTTTTGCGCGATTCTACGCCTTATCTAAAAGAACAGTTACGTCACACGTCAAGCAGAAACCGATCATCTCGCACTCATTACATTACCT